GTCAAGTCGCGGACTATGAAGTCCCGGACCAACGTCTGGTCGCGGACTATGAAGTCCCGAGCTCGTGAACCGCCCCTTAATGTAAACAGTTCACATTGAAAAGCACAGGCAGATCAACTAGGTTAGATTTAGTAGGCCTATACCATTCATTAAATTGCAAACCTGACAAGGCTAGGCCCATCTACTGTATAAGACAAAACTACTGTTTGAAAATGCTAAATTATACTAAGTTACCCGTAAGTTAACTACTCCCACATATAACCACCTCCAGGATACCTAAGTAGGGTAATCAAAATTGCCTTTTACCAAATCGACCTAGACCTAGGCTAAGTCGAAAGAAACTCAATTATTGATTCAATTTCGGCTGTTAATCCTGGTTTTTCTGATCATGATGCCTTAACCCTCCGAGTGTCATGCGTCGCTGCAGCGACTCACGAACACTGTTTACGGCGAGGGCTCTATGACTGACAAAATCGGATTGAACTGGATCGAGTTTGGTATCGTTCTTTTCATTATATTCTAAGCTTTCTCCAGAGGTCTGTCTCTAAGCGCTTTATGTTCTCCGAGCCGATCGTAATTGTAGCAGACAGCTGACGTGCGTATTTGTAAACAGGTTAGTTAACCTCGGACCAATGACTGATGTGTTTTATTATGTTTAAATGGTAATTATTTGGACGTAGTGACTACTCGCAAAAGTGAAATTTTTTTTTCATAATGACCTAAATTTCACGCTGAATTCGAAAATGAGGTTTTTATTTTTCGGAAAATACCGGAAATTCCCGAAAAAAGGGAAAAACAGGAAAAATATTTTTTACTCAAAATATGTCATGTGGGTACTCAAAATATGCGGAATATTGTGTAGATTAAGAATATGCAAGAATTGTTTTGATCCGATGAAAAACACCGGAGATATGACGAAAAAACTGAATAATCTGTTAGGTTAGGCTTGGTTAGGCTAGGTTAGGTTAGGTTTGGTTAGGTTAGGTTAGGTTTGGTTAGGTTTGGTTAGGTTTGGTTAGGTTAGGTTAAGTTAGGTTAGGTTTGGTTAGTTAGGTTAGGTTAGGTTTGGTTATGTTAGGTTAGTTTAGGTTAAGTTTGGTTAGGTTAGTTTATCAATAACATGAGTATTGTAAGTAAACTAACCTAACCAAACCAAACTTAACCTAACCTAATGATGAGGTTAGGTTAGGTTTGGTTAGGTTAGTTTAGGTTAGGTTAAGTTAGGTTAGGTTAGGTTAGGTTAGTTTACTTACAATACTCATGTTATTGATAAACTAACCTAACTAAACTTAACCTAAACTAACCTAACCTAACCAAACCTAACCCCAACCTAACCAAACCTAACCTAACCTAACCTAACCTAACCAAACCTAACCTAACCTAATGATGAGGTAAGGATAGGTTTGGTTAGGTTCGTTTAGGTTAGGTTAAGTTTGGTTTGGTTAGGTTAGGTTAGTTTACTTACAGTACTCTCCGGTGTTTTTCATCGGATCAAAACAATTCTTACATATTCTTAATCTACACATTATTCCGCATATTTTGAGTACCCACATGACGTATTTTGAGTAAAAAAATATTTTTCCCGTTTTTCCCTTTTTTCGGGAATTTCCGGTATTTTCCGAAAAATAAAAAAATTATGTAAAAATGATAAAAATGCTAATAAAACATGAAAAAAAATCATCAAACAACCTAAAATGACAGATAAATTATGCACGTAACAAAGTAACTTAGTACCTATCATAACAAAGATAATTTTACTGACAAACCCCATGTTATTACAATTTTAAAGATAAAATTATGTGTAGAATATAAATATAACTAATCAGCCACAGTTAAACCACCGTTATCTACTAACATAATTATCAGAAATAGTTTTTTGCCGTGGTTGTGCACATCAAGCAAACCGTCAGTCGTTGAGTACGGTTAGCGGTGATATCACCGTCTTGTGTTGTACTCACTGGTCGCCGTGTGTATTGAATATGACTATGAAATATCTATATACTGTTTGTGTTAACAACTACGTACCACCACTCCACTACCTCGCATAGGACCAGCTCGTTATCATGACTAAAACCCTTTTATGACTTGATGAATAATTTAAAGATAGATTTAGATGTTCCAAAGATGCCGTCAATGAGTCATTTGAGGCGTTCGCTCCAAGGCACGAATTTCCCGACAAAAAAATCCATTACAGTATTCTAAATTGAAAAAAAAAGTTTGTTCCACTAATATTTTTGGCTGATGGCACTTTTCATCAAGAAGCTGGTGATTTACAGTATTGGATATTAGTAAAGCTTGAATGGTAGCTATTTTATCAGACTTCCATTATCTGATTTCATTCAAACGTGGCTTGTTGTGTTTATAAATCAATAAACTTTGATATATTATTATAGGCAAGCATTGAGAAAATAATAGTTTTGGAAGTTTTGGTTCAGCCTTTATTCACGATCATCCTATTGTATGGAAGTGCGTAAACTTATGTCAGCAGCAGTCGCTTCACATGTGTTTCCAGAATGTTGTTGCCAACGTCTCAACAAAAATTCCCTGCGAATCCCTGTCATTAGGCTCCGCTACGTATTCGGTCTCGACCAACAATAAGCCCGACTTTCACATCATTAGGCTCTGACTCGTGAACCCATTTTTTGGTCGTCGCTTATATAGTCCGGGACCAACGTCAAGTCGCGGACTATGAAGTCCCGGACCAACGTCTGGTCGCGGACTATGAAGTCCCGAGCTCGTGAACCGCCCCTTAATGTAAACAGTTCACATTGAAAAGCACAGGCAGATCAACTAGGTTAGATTTAGTAGGCCTATACCATTCATTAAATTGCAAACCTGACAAGGCTAGGCCCATCTACTGTATAAGACAAAACTACTGTTTGAAAATGCTAAATTATACTAAGTTACCCGTAAGTTAACTACTCCCACATATAACCACCTCCAGGATACCTAAGTAGGGTAATCAAAATTGCCTTTTACCAAATCGACCTAGACCTAGGCTAAGTCGAAAGAAACTCAATTATTGATTCAATTTCGGCTGTTAATCCTGGTTTTTCTGATCATGATGCCTTAACCCTCCGAGTGTCATGCGTCGCTGCAGCGACTCACGAACACTGTTTACGGCGAGGGCTCTATGACTGACAAAATCGGATTGAACTGGATCGAGTTTGGTATCGTTCTTTTCATTATATTCTAAGCTTTCTCCAGAGGTCTGTCTCTAAGCGCTTTATGTTCTCCGAGCCGATCGTAATTGTAGCAGACAGCTGACGTGCGTATTTGTAAACAGGTTAGTTAACCTCGGACCAATGACTGATGTGTTTTATTATGTTTAAATGGTAATTATTTGGACGTAGTGACTACTCGCAAAAGTGAAATTTTTTTTTCATAATGACCTAAATTTCACGCTGAATTCGAAAATGAGGTTTTTATTTTTCGGAAAATACCGGAAATTCCCGAAAAAAGGGAAAAACAGGAAAAATATTTTTTACTCAAAATATGTCATGTGGGTACTCAAAATATGCGGAATATTGTGTAGATTAAGAATATGCAAGAATTGTTTTGATCCGATGAAAAACACCGGAGATATGACGAAAAAACTGAATAATCTGTTAGGTTAGGCTTGGTTAGGCTAGGTTAGGTTAGGTTTGGTTAGGTTAGGTTAGGTTTGGTTAGGTTTGGTTAGGTTTGGTTAGGTTAGGTTAAGTTAGGTTAGGTTTGGTTAGTTAGGTTAGGTTAGGTTTGGTTATGTTAGGTTAGTTTAGGTTAAGTTTGGTTAGGTTAGTTTATCAATAACATGAGTATTGTAAGTAAACTAACCTAACCAAACCAAACTTAACCTAACCTAATGATGAGGTTAGGTTAGGTTTGGTTAGGTTAGTTTAGGTTAGGTTAAGTTAGGTTAGGTTAGGTTAGGTTAGTTTACTTACAATACTCATGTTATTGATAAACTAACCTAACTAAACTTAACCTAAACTAACCTAACCTAACCAAACCTAACCCCAACCTAACCAAACCTAACCTAACCTAACCTAACCTAACCTAATGATGAGGTAAGGATAGGTTTGGTTAGGTTAGTTTAGGTTAGGTTAAGTTTGGTTTGGTTAGGTTAGGTTAGTTTACTTACAGTACTCTCCGGTGTTTTTCATCGGATCAAAACAATTCTTACATATTCTTAATCTACACATTATTCCGCATATTTTGAGTACCCACATGACGTATTTTGAGTAAAAAAATATTTTTCCCGTTTTTCCCTTTTTTCGGGAATTTCCGGTATTTTCCGAAAAATAAAAACCTCATTTTCGGATTCAGCGTGAAATTTAGGTCATTATGAAAAAAAAAATTTCACTTTTGCGAGTGGTCACTACGTCCAAATAATTACCGCATTCTTAGCTAAACGCTATGTACTGAAATCTGTTTTTTGCCCATAACTTATTTATTTGCAAATCTACTTCCTTATATTATTATATAGGCCTATTTGTAATCCTCATAAAATTTAGAACAAAGTGGCTATTTTCAAATATTTATAGGCCTATAATTTATACAATTTCATTGAGCGCGAACTTATTTTTTTTTCAATTTTTCCAAAATAATTTTTATTTTTACCTAAAAAAATTTTTTGAAACAAATTTTCCTTAGATTTTATGTATGATATTGAAGCCCATGATTTTCCAAACAAAATGGTATATAGAACAGCAGAATTAACATTGTTTTAAGCTTTTCAGATCCGTTTTAATAAAACCTTGCAAATGCACCAAAAATAGGCGGACATTAAGGCCTAAACTATGGACACTCGGAGGGTTAAAGTTCGATGTACATCTTTCTGCAATTATTAGAAAAATTAATTAAGCTCCTACCAAATGTCAATAATATGTAAATAAACATAAAATAGGTTGCCTCAGTTGCACAAACTCGGAATACACTAAAATGACTTAGGCCTATTGAGTTTGATTAGTCTACTTTTGAGGTTATCTCTACTTCATAGGGGTTATTTAGACACCTACTTCCAAAAGTGCTTTCCTGGGCCCGAAAGCGGGGTAAATTGTCTTATAAGTATGCAGTATACCCAATAAAATAATTCAAACAAAATTCTTTAATGATTAATCATAGGCCTACCTCAGCAAACTATTTTCCCTTTAGCTTGTTGTAGTTGTTCTGTTCCAATCCAAAACCAAGAACAAGATGTATGGGTTGGGTTCTTGTTCTTGTTCTTCTGTTCTATCGGTTGTTCTTGTTCTGTTCGGCTAAAGCACGGGTCACACTAGGCTGGCATCAGCGGCGAATTGAAAGAAGCCGCGACTGTCAGCTTAATGTGACCACAAAATTCGCAGCTGGCATCGCTAGCCGGCGAGTATTTGTCAGCGGCTGGCGAAGTTGGACATGTTCAACTTTTGGTAGCGAGGCAGCGGCGACTAGAGGTCACGTGACCACTCGCACTCGCTGACACCAGCGAGCAGCGTAGTCTGGCCACCTCTAGAAGCGTGCCAGCGGCGACCAAAGGTAATATCCAGCTTGGTTTAACACAAAAGGACAAAAGCAACTGTCTCAATATCTATATAATTAATACGCTACATGAAACTTTGTCGGTTGAACTCCTCCACCATTTCTTAACCGATTTTATCCATTGACGTCTCATTGGAAAGAGCGTGTCGCGTAGATTTGCAAACTGGCCTTACATTTTTGAAAACGTCCCTTGGGCTCTGCCCCAGTGGCTTTGAAAGTTCCCATGTTATCCTTATGGAGAACATAATTGTTTACATTTTGATCAGCTGTATAATTTAATTGCTGTTATTTATTTTTCAATTCAATGAAACGCATTGAGTACATTTATTTACTACTAGCTGTAACCCGCGGGCTTTGCCCCGTTTAACTTCTTAATTTTCAAGATTAGCCTATCTCGTTTTAATTAGAGGCTTAACTTAATTCTAGTAATGCCTGGAATGTATGTGGTGACATGGTGACATTCGTAAAACATTTTGGTATGTTTCTGATTCTTTTTTTAGTGCGTTTAAAAATGTGGTATTTTTAAAAAGTATTTTTATTTGTAAATTATTTGTAACCAAGACCTGATCCACTAACGTCTCTTCTTGCGGTTAAGCATCTTTTAATAAAATTATTTCTCTTTCACACACATCCACAATATTAAGTGCTGGATGAGGACCCAAAAAAAGGACACAATGGCAACAAGAACTTAGCTTTAAACTTTAAAGTAGTTGTAGCATAGAAATTACTGAGCTTAGGTGGTCGGGGAAGCAGGTTATTGATTTCTTAAATTTATTGTTTCTTTATAGAAATAAGAACATCAAATAAGCAGCTTACAGTGATTTGTTACAAAACCTCAAAGCTGTTCTTTTCCTTCTCTTCTCACACATCGTTAATATCGCGATCACCAGCGGCTGACAAGCAGCCTAGTGTGACCCGTAGAAAAGCCGCTGCTTGATGGTGCTGGTGCCAGCCGCTGGTGATATGCAGCTGGCACCAGCATCACCGGCTCACCAATACAGGCTGAGTCAGCTCAGTGTCAGCTGTGAATTTTGTGGTCACATTAAGGCCCGGTTCACACGAACGACAAACCTAGCAGACTAGGCTTGGACTAGGTAAGCACGACTGGGTAGCGGACCACAGGATCAAATGGAGCCGTTCACACGAGCCTAGGACGCCGACTAGCTAGTCGTGTTCGAGCTTGATGCCCCAAAACCTAGTCGAGCCCCGCTTCCCAGTCCGTCCCGTCGTGGCAACTACCCAGTCGAACTGCGTAGCAGTACATGTAGCCTTATGGGAGCGTTCACACGAGCGATCGGGTAGTCGAGCTGCAGCTCGCATTCTGACCTTTGTTCTCATTGTGCACCAGTGATGGAACCGAGTGGTTTTGATATCTATATTTTCACCTAGTCCGTAGACATGTCGCTCGTGTGAACCGGTGTGATCCTGTGGTCCGCTACCCAGTCGTGCTTACCTAGTGCTTACCTAGTCCAAGCCTAGTCTGCTAGGTATGTCGTTCGTGTGAACCGGGCCTAAGCTGACAGTCGTGGCTTCTTTCAATTCGCCGCTGATGCCAGCCTAGTGTGACCCGTGCTTAATCGGCTGACCTGACTTCGACATCTGTTCGGTTCGGGTTGACTTACGGAAGGCATAAAAGAGGCAACGATGACATCATAGTTTAGTTCAAAATTCCTCCGTGAACAGCGTTGTAGTAGAGAGCACAGCACGTAATTTCACTATTAATTAATTATAAAATTAAGAAAAATTATAAAATTAATCTTATAATTTTTCAATTATTAAATCAAACTGTCATAACCTCAAACAAACTAACCAAACTTGCTGATAATTAAAAAATCGAATGAATGTTTACTAATCGAATAAATAGTTTTGTCCATAAAATAAAATTATAAATGCCTCAAATTTAATTTTATCATTATTAATTATAAAATTAAAATGTCATAACCTAACCAAACCAACCAAACTTGCTGTAATGAAAACACTTGTTAACAAAAAGTTAGTGCCACTAGCGGGATCCAAACCCGACACTTTCAGCCCGACCCGCTATCCACTACACCACCGAGGCCGTTTGCTCATACTGCCACGGCCGCCTACTGCTCATACCGTATCGTTGCGGTAATGGTGTTACCTCAAGAGAAGAGATCCAACAGCTGACGTCATCGGAGGCTCTTCCTGTACGTCCCTTGAGTAAATACCCTCCTGTTCTGTTCGTTGGATCGTTCGTACCGTCGTGAAGTTAGTTAGCGGCTCTTTTCATCGGCGCTTTTTCGAATTGTACGGGTCGAGTTCCCACAAGGCTCAAGGGACGCTCAATGACTGACGTAATAAGCCCCTGTCACACGGAGCTGGTTTTCTCACCACTAGTAACTAGCAGCTAGAACCAACAGAAAACGAGCATCGTGTACTGATTCTCCAGCTGCTAGAAACACTCGCCTGAATGAGCTGGTATCTCTAGCCACTGGAGGGTTTAAACAGTTTATTATTACAAAGTACCTGTTATTTGCCGATGATATAAAATTATTTAAAACTATCAGAAATGTTAGTGATGGTGAATCTCTGCAGAGAACTCTCGCTGGCATCGAGTCTTAATGCAAGCAGAATTTGATGTATCTCAAAGTATCTAAATGCAATGTAATATCCTTTACAAGACGTGAAACTATTGTACATATGGATTATCGGTTGGATGGTACTCCTCTGAGACGGGGCCACGTAATTAAAGACCTCGGAGTCTATTGGAATTCTTCCCTTACGCCTGAGCACCACGTAGATGAAATCTGCAGGAAAGCTTGTGGAATCCTTTGTCTGATCTTCAGAGTGTCAAGAAATGGGTTTTCAATAAAAACTCTAACTACCCTTACAAGACACTCCTGCGCCCAATTTTGGAATATGTGTCGGTGGTTTGGAAACCTTACCATGACATCTACGTTTCTCGGTTACAACGAATTCAGAGATTTGCAAGAATGATAGGAGTTAGATGTTGCTTGTGGCTACAACTATAGAGACGTCCCAGTTGAAGAACTTGAGTCCCTGCTGAACCTTCATACTCTGGCCAAGAGAAGAGATGTTGCAGATCTGGCTTTCTTGTTAAAACTGATCAATTGTAAAACAGACTCTCCTCAGCTGTTGGAAAAGCTGTTATTTCGAGTTCCAGGCAGTACCAGGTCTGCAGATGTTTTCTTCAGGACGCAGTACAGGACTAACTACCTGGGTAATAGTCCGATGATCCGATTCCAACGGCTAGGAAACGAATTCTCAATCAAAGTTGGCCTCTACAGTGACAGTCTAGCCTCATCCTACATGATTAATTAATTCACACTCAATTACTTATATATCCAAATACAGTTATACACCTTAGACTTTACATTAGAATACAGTTTAAAACTCAGACAACCTACACTAAACGATTCAGATATACATATTATTGTCATTGTTATTGTTATTCATAATCATTATCGTTATTTATAATCATTCTGCATTGTCATTGTTATCGATATGTCATAGTATTATAGCTATTATTGTTGTTTGATTGTATTGATGCAATTTTGTTGATGAAATGTTGTTTTGTTCTGTAGTTTCTAAGTCAGTCTTGGAGTTTATATAATATTAACTGATTGTTATTATTGTAAATGGCATTGCCGTGGAAAATAAAATAAATAAATAAATAAATTACAAGCACTTTACCCAGCTGTGGTCTCTAGCGCCAGTCCGGCTCCGTCTGACAGTATCAAGCTATAGTTATCGCAATAAGAAAAATGAGTTTAAATGCATTTAATACATTTAAACTAATCTATATAAATAAAATTACAGTTTTGTCTGTACATTGCTTAGAATCATGCGGTTTTTGGTTATTTTTACGTTTCATAGCCTAAGAAAGCCGAAACAAGTCTTATCTCAATTTCTGTCTGTATGTCTGTTTGTCTGTCCATTCTGTGACTCCGTCTGTAACGCCAAAATGTCATTTTACGCGGCCTACTCCTAGAAAAATAGAGTACCGATCAAGGTTTTAATCATTTTTCTGTATTTACTGGATTGGTGAGAGTGTCTTTGGCTATAAAAACATGGCCTCGCTTCTTCGAAAACAAAATAACGAACCACCAAAAACCCAATTTTGTTCGATTTTTGTCAAATTTTCTCCCAATGTTTACTATTACATTACATTTTATGACATAACGATCAAATGTTTGGATTAGTTCTCACTTCTAGCTGTCACCGATATGTTTACATTAAAAGTTGTTTACTAATACCGCAACCATTTCCGATCAAGTTTTGTCAGCACATCCAAACCAAGTGAGATTAAAAACGTTGTGCCTTACTTAACCGGTTTAATTAATCGCAAGTGCAACGATTGTTCTTGAGTTTTGATAACCGGGGAAAATACCGTGATTCAGTGTTGTATTAGTGCAAGGAAACTTACCTTATTTTAATCATCGTCACCAATACCGTAGCTTACAAAGGTTTCCACTCATTGACGGCACTTCAAGGACAGTTGTGTAAAGTGCACAGTAAAAAATCACGACTGCAGTGGGTGATCGTGGATGTTGCTGCGATCTTGGAAGATCTTTCTGATTTCGCTGTGATCGTACCGTAAC